AAGACCCTGCAAATGGTAATTCCCCATTAGCTTGATGCAAAACGCAAGCAAAACAAGACCCTGCAAATGGTCATTCCCCATTAGATTGATGCAAAACACAAGCAAAACTAGATCCTGCAAATGGTAATTCCCCAATAGCTTGATGCAAAACGCAAGAAAAACAAGACCCGACAAGTCAGTTTGCTGTGTTTGCAGCCCAAACGAGGGAGCCAGACTCAGGAACCCAAGCCGGGGCGGGCCAGACTTAGGAAAACAAACCCTCCGCCTGTCGAGCTCGGGATACTCGATGTAGCGCTTGCTGGTGATGCAGGAAATTGTTCGTCAATTATTCGATTGGCATGACGGTGTTCCGGCTTCCAGTCTCGATCATGTTTCATGGTATAGCGCGAGTTTCTGATGTTCTCCGAATGTGCAGCTGGTTGGACCGTCTGTCTTGGCCTGTGCAAGAACGTGGTTTGGGTTGCACGATCTCGAGCTCCAGCACTGAACTGTTGAAGCAACTACTCGTACAACCCTCTGCCCGCATGGGCATACCAAATCGAGAACCCCAGCCCAAAACTCCTCTCAAGCCGTCACGAAACCTTTACTTGAGGCGCGTCGTGGGGCCGTGTCGGTTTTCGCACAGCGCCGCCATAAGCCCTTTGGCAGAAGAGTTCGAGATAGTCGAACACAACACTGTCACTGAGGCTACCATGAGAAACGCTGCTGACATTGCTGACCCGCTCTTGATGAAGTCTCGGTTAAATGGGAACCCATAACAGTCCCAAGCCTCGAAGCACAGGCGCCTGCGCCAGCGCCACTGCCTGGCAGCTGCTGGGCCAGATGATCGGCAAAGTTACACTGCTACACAGAGTAGCAAATATTCCGGTGGGAGAGGTAGCCTTGCTGTTGTTCGCACGCTCGTTGTGGCAGGATGACATAAAAATACAGAAGCTGAACTGGCACTGCTCAACGGTTCCTCCCTTCTGTACTTGCCAAGAGGACGATGGCGACCACCACCACCGCCGCCGCCACCACACCACCCCCACCTCCGTCGACCAGGGAGTTTTGTTGCTCCACTATGCCAAAAGGAACGTAAGCACCAACAGGACCTACATGGCGCAAAGTAGGATTCAGAATTTTTGTCCTGAAGATTGAATTACGGTAGAGTTCTCTGTGCAGGATATCATCGGCCCTGCCGCTATCCCAAAGCCCGAAACCCGGAAGTCTCGGAGATATCGTCGCCTCAGAGTCCGAGGCACGCGCTGTCTGCTTTGACTGGCCCCGAGGCCCAAGGCTCCCTCCATTTGTGCTGGATTTTATGACAAAGGGCCAAGGGCCCTAAGTCATGACATTATCCCCGAGATTTCCAGATGCATACTACGAGATTCGCCAAAGCCTTTTTTTGGATCATTCGGGGGTTTGTGCTAGGGCCAGGGCTTGAGGCTCAGGTGGGGGCTGCGACCGTAGGACTTCAGGATGCGGGAAGCTCTAGTACTGTATACCATAAAGCCCCAAACCACCGAACCTGAACCCAAGAAAATTCAAAGATCCGAGTGATAAAGCCAAAGGGCTTCCACGGTAACTCCAAAAGGCCGGACACTCCTGGCGGAACGTGCTTGCGGTTCCGCCTCATGAGCACGCTTGATAGTTGAAGTCTGAGACTTCAAAGCCAGCTGAACGCGATGAAGCTCAGGTACAGCAAGACAAGAGTCATCCTCCCACTGCAAGCAGTCATGTGAACATCTGCAGTTCTACACGACTCTGCTTGTTCCTGCCTAGTCCCCCAACCCCAAGCCCGAGACCCAAACCCCTAAACCCGAACCCGCCGACCCCAAACCCCCAAAACCTCAGCACCAAATCCCAAACCCCGCACGCAGACCTCGACCTGGATCTTATCGTCGTCAGCGCGGCTTTGTCGGCCTGTGAGAAAGCCAGCCGCTGGCACCAGGCGCCTGGCACGCTAGATGTCCTTCGGTATATATAATAGCAACATACCAGTAGGTCGCCGTTAAAAGCATAGATGCATAGCTTCACAATATGTTCCCTAAGCCTTTCCGCAGGCAAGATTGCAGAACTTGGACCAGCCTGCCTATTCTGGTGCTGTGCACCGCCGAAGGAAGCATCCAAAACAGAGTTCCTGTCCCAACTAAAGTCTACTATACTATACCCAAAAGCCCTAAAAAGATTATCAGGGCCTCGATAGTCTGGCGTCTGAATCATGAGCTCATCTGTGTTTCAGAACATGTATGTTAACCGAGGCGACGCAACTGCTCCAGGAAGCAGAACGGCTTCTCGGAAAATGATCCAATATCTTTTTGTTCTCTGGATGGTGGATTGAAGTACGTTGTGGCGGGCTTTCGGGACACCGATTCAGGCGTGGGCCAGTGGGGTGTTTCGTAAGCAGTCAGGGAAACCCTTCCAAAGTCCTGCACCCTAACCAGGGCTTGAGGAACCCAGGAACGTTTCTTACTCCGGAGGCTGCAGCGAGTAACTAAGGCGGGAGATACACCCAGATGTGGTGGCACTGAATGCTGCACCATGGATGCAACAGGGGGCAGGGATCTGCAAAGCCTTGACGAGATTGCCGCTATCCCTTATATTTGGGACCGGGTTCGGGCATCAAGAACGCAGAGCTCGACGTCTTTCGCGTCTGTGGTTCCTGGAACCCTGTCACATCAAACCTGAGCCCTGAGCCGTGCTTCTGCTGCAGACCTGGAAGTTACAGTTGTAAACTCTCTCTAGATCCAACCCGAGCTTTTGTCTTAAGGCCTCGTGGTTCAGTTGTTCAGTACCGTTTCTCAGCTATTCCCGAAACACACATGTACGGTTTTCAGGAATCTGTAGTGCCTTGAGCTTTGGGATAGCACATCTTTGACCTATGTAGAGTTGTTTAGGCTCCCTGCTTTTTTGTGAGGGTGGTCCCATGCTGAGGCTGCACACTGTGGAGTTTGGGGCTTGTGGGTCAGGGGAGCCTGAACTGTAAGACTTTTAAAGGCCCTGACCCCATATCTAGGGGCGGGTATAGCTGTACTAGTATGCCATTATCGGTTCTGTAGGATCATAGTACACATACCCCCAAAGCCTAATTTGGAGGAATCCTTGAAGGAATTTTGGTCTAATGATTAAGGCCCCTCTACCCTAAACCCTTAAACCCATCCCAGGTGATCAGCAGCTGCGGCAAGGGTTTCGCCTGGGCTCGAGCATTGGATCTGCTGCAAAGCTTGGCAGACAGGAGGAGCCCAGGGGAGCGGGGGCAAATTAGCATCGTTTCGGCTAAGGTGTCAGGTGTTTTTTGATGTGTATGTATGCAATTAGATATTTTGTTGTCATATATGTGCGCACATCAATATATGTATATAGTATGTGCTGATGGAATCACAGCACCAAAATCCCCAAACACAGAAGCCCCCCCACGCTAAGCCCGCCATGAGACAGGCTTCAGCCTACTCGCATCAGCTACTCCTCGGCGCTCACGGCCTGCGAGCGATCGGGACGATGGAGGTCGAGCTCAGGTTGTCCCTCAATGTTTAGGTGTTGGGGTTCGGGTCTTGGGGTTAAGCTATACTTCGACCACTTCCGAAGACAAACACGCTGTGGCTTCTTCGAGGTCCAGGAACGAAACAACTATCAGCCAGCGTCTCCCCACTCCGACAGCCCGTCCAGACCACACTGAAGCGCCCCGTGCTGACAGTTCCGGAGAGCAGACGCGCTGGCAGTTGCCGCAGCAGCCAGACTCTCCGTAGCGCCGAAGAGTATGTACGGAGTCTTTGTTGCCTCTGGCAGCCATGCAAAATTAGCCCAAAACCTTCAGCTCTAAGTTTCTTTTGAAGAATCGAGACTCTAACCCGGCAAAGCTGGCCCCGAAACTCTAATAATCCTGGTCGAGGCAGGCCATGGGCCTTTGGCGTGGCATGATCAGGGCAGGCCTGCCACGGAAGGGGATTTCTGGCTTGGTGGGGGGTCGCTGTTCGAGGAGTGGGGCTCTTAGCATTGTTTTACTACTGGCAGCATGAAAAAACCCTAAACCCTAAACCCTAAACCCTAAACCCTAAACCCTAAACCCTAAACCCTAACCCATTGGCCTCGGGTCCTCAGACTCTAGGACTGAGCGGACTCAGTGATGTTCCTGACTCTAAACTTTCCGGTTCATGCCGCCTCTGGCCCTGACATCCCAAAAGCAAATCGTCTGGCATCCCGCGAAGCTGGTGCGAATCAGTCATATCTTACGTCTACCGCCGGTAAGAAAAGTGTGTGGCCTGCCTCCTGCTGAAGGAGGTACAAGCCTTTATTTGTAGCAGGACTTGTTGCACCAACGTCTTAGCCTCCTATCCTGGACATGGAGGCGAAAACAGCTCCCTAGACTCTACATTTCAATAGATCTTGCAGCCAATGTGCTATTCTAGTAGAAGAAGTCCTAAGACCTGGAGCCCAGATATCCCCAAATTAGTTTGTGCACCCAATCTGCAGGTGTGACGCCGGATGCTATCGCAGTGGGTGCGAGCATCAGTGCAATGGAGAAAGGCCAAAACCTCCGATTATCATGCAAGTAGTCTTAGGAAGTTGCAGCGAGCTCTTGGAGGAGCATGCTTTAGATCATGGGCTTGCATGCATGGGCTCTAGACGTCAGGTGTTCCAGCCGAAGCTTTAGAAACTGAAGTCCACACGATCTTGAGAGTGCTGCGAAGCTTAAGGTTTTGGGGTGCGCGTGTCAGCTCACGAGTGTTGTCCGACTTTCTGACAATGGGTGTCTTATCGAGCTACCCGGCTTGATGGAGAGCCCCGAGAAATCTAGGAGATCACATGACAGGAAAGCCACACTCTGGGAGTTAAAGTTTCCTTCTGTTTCGGCCCAGCCCCGATGAAGATTTAGGTTGATGAGGGGCTAGGTCAGGCACAAAAGCTGCTATCCCGAAACGAACCGCTCAGGCCAAGGTATGTGTTGGTTTTCTTGTTTGTTCCTGTTGTAGTCTTGCTCGGGGCGTTCTGGCAATGGGCCTTTTTAGGTTGCGACTTCGAATTCATGTCGTCCTGTCACTATAGAGGTAGTTCTTGAGCTTCTACACCGATTCTACACCAACAACTGAAGCCCTGGGTCCTAAACCCTCCGAATCCTGCAGATGGAAAAATGCGTTCAAAACGATTCTGAATCCTTATAAGGACCCCGAAACCCACACAACGTTTGTGAGCGGCAGAGGTCGGCAGTGGGCAGCTGCACTCTGGCTCTTGTCCGAGGAGGCCCGGTGAAGAATTTTGCCACCTGGCGCCTTGGGTTTCAGGTGGGCTTCCGGCCACTGTGGTTTTTGCATGTGAGGGTGCGGTTTCTGTTTGTCCTACGCCTTGCGTAGGTGGGGGAGAGAGCAACAGATCTGTTTTTGCATGGGGCTGAAGGTGTTGCCTTGCGGGATTAACAGGCCTGGTGGTTGTCTCGTGTAGGTTTACTGCGGGGCGCATAGTCAGTTGAGGGTCTGGAGTTCACAGATTGAAGCTGTAACGCTGGTTGCAGCTTGCGTCCTGTGCCCAACACCTCAGAAAGCGATCTAGTTTACTTCCGCCACTGCCAGATTAGACGAAGGAGCAGTGTGTTGCTTGGCGCTTCGACGGAGCATGGAGAACACATCAAGCCGACCCTGCAAGTTGTGATTCAATTGAGGTTCCACAAACATCCCGTGTCTCGAAAGCTGCAAGCACGCAGCTTTCCAAGAGCTGTCAGGAGCGCTCCTCCCGATGCTTCGACACAGTTGCGTTCAATGCCGGCATCGCTGCTTGTGCCAAGAGCCGCGAGTGGATCAAGGCCGCCCAAGAAGGGCTTTTGTGTTTCAAGAGCTGTGCCAAGAAGCAGAACCTGTGAGTTTCAGTGGCAGCTTTCACGGGCTAGTCCTGCAGCAGTTTTGGTTTCACGCAAAGGTGAAAACCCCACAGTGCAGAGAAGGAGTGGCCAAGAACCTGCTGTCAACCCGAACTCTAACTTTGGAGGTAGCGTTTGCATACAAGAACAGGCAACACAAAATGAAGCATCTCGGGTCCAGGATGCAATTGTGAGGGTTTGGCGTCTACAGCTGGCTCTGCAAAGCTCTGAACCTCTCAGACCAATAGCAGTTGCAACGTTGCATATTGCGGGAGGCCCTTGACCTTTTACAGACGCTCACGTCGCCGATGGCCCCTGTCCGCCCGGACAGCAGATGAATGTGCTGAATTCTCGGGCAGATCCTAGGGTACAGGATCGTGTGATTGTTCGTTCAGCTTTGTGTTGTTGGAAATCTCACATGGCAAGTGAGCTTCCATGTATGGAAAGTTCGTTAGATACGCCTAATTACACTTTCCCGCGCAGTAGCTGTACCGAACACTCTCAAATCTTTACCACAGAGACTCTCGACCCTTACATGCTCAAGTAATAGTTGTTTCTAGTGTGTGGCGTTAGCAATGCAGTTCCCGTTGTGGGTGTGTTGGGTTTGCGGTGCTATAGAACCCCAGTTCGATGTTGCGGGATTCATAACGTAAAGGTGGCCTGCCTGCCCTGCCTGCGTCCCTTTCTGCGGAGCTTGAGAGTTGGGGAATTGACTGTGGAGTTGAGTCGCTACCGCTACCGGTTGTTCCGCCTCTTATAGTTAGGATTTGTAGCAGGCATGCTAGATAGGTCAGTTTGGCTTCGAATTCCATGAACTGCATCCCTCAAATCATTGGAAGTAGGAATCCCAAACCCACGTCTTTAGAGCCTAAGCTCTTCGACCCCTGCTTGGTAAACGCGCCGAAGTTCCGGATTCGGGCAGGACACTGCATCCTTTGATGCCGGGATGGATGCCTGTGCAGACGGGCACTGGTTGCAGGTGGCCTTCGTTGTGTTGCCCCAGGGTTAAGGATTCAGGATTTTCGATTTAGGGCTCGTAGGGCTTTAGCTTCAGGGTCGGAGAGCATGCCAGGATTCGGTGCTTGTGCAAGAGTTTGTTTTGCGTGATGTCGGGCTTGGGAGGATCCAGAGCTTCTTGCAAACCCCGCCCGACAGCACCAGGCCACAGCGTGGTCATTCTTGGGAGTCATCGGCCAGAAGTGAAGTTCGAAGCTTCGGGACAACGTGAGTTCGTGTTTCCAGTCATCAACCCTACGCACCCCATACCCATCATTAAGAGTTGACGCCCTTGCCACAGGCGCTTGAGCTGCTGAGAGGGATGGCAAAGCTCCCTGGCTGGTAGCCGAGATGGCGCTTACGAAAGCAGTCTAGACGACAGCTCTTCTTTAGTTACATGCGTGTCTTGCAATGCTCCGTCTCGGCATCGTTGTCGTGATTTCAAGACTATTTGGCTCCCGCGGCATCCTTCAGAAGGTAACCGGCGGAAACATACCAACACGAAGGGGCACGTGTCCGAAAAAACGGTCTGGCATCTCAACGCCTAGATGATCCCAGCTCTGTGTGTGTGTGTGTGCGCGTGTCAATTTCGCCTCTTCATGTCTGGTTTTTTTCGACGTTGTTGCTGTCTATACAAGCTACTTGAATGAAGCATAGTCCAGTATGGTTGTGCTGACCAGAGTAGGATGGGACACCAAGCAGGACGGGACAACAGGACCGCAACTTCGGACCGAAACCCCAAGAGTCCTCCTAGAGGCGACTCTCTGAACTTCCTAAACCGATCAAACGACACCCTGTTTAAGGACACCCAACTTGCTTCTCCCAGGCTTCACTTGCCTCGCACAGCCCGGAGCCGCCTGGTCTGGAAATGTTGGTTCTCATGGCATTTCGGCTTGGCATGGGGATCCAGCCGATGAGGGGGTGGATTGTCTGGAGAAGGGGGGTGCGGGTGCTTGCATCAACCAGACAAATTTGTAGACATGCTGAGGGCTGAGGGGCTGCCCCTTTGCACATGCAGACTTCTCTCACAATAGAGTATAACATGATACCATGAAGCATAAAGCAGCATAACATATACTACGAAGGTGCTCTTCGGACGCACCCCGAACGCCTCCATGGGAGGCCTAAACCCTAAACCCTAAACCCTAAACCCTAAACCCTAGAGGCTACATGGCCGCGCTCAGCGCTTGCACTTCCTCGAGCCGCTGGCCGCGTTCTTTGGCCCTCTGGCTGGAGCTGGAGGAGGAAGGCCGGTCGGTCGGGTTTTTGATTTGGGTTTAGGGTTTAGGGTTTAGGGTTTAGGGGCTGTCCTTACAAGGCTCAGTCGACAGTCCTTTTCGTCTCGCAGGCTTGTACAGGCCTTTCCCAGCTTAGTTTCGGCAGGTGGGAATACTATGTAGGGGCCTTAGTATGTCTCGGCGCACGGTTGTCTGACTACTGACTGATCGATTGCATCTAGCTCGGCATGCCTTCAAACGGACGCAACGAAGCTGGGCACAATTCCCGCATCTCGCGAGAATCCGGCCATTCTTGGAAAGATTCGATGCATTCTGTAAGATTTCGAAGACATCGAACCTTTGATGGACTTAGCCACAAGTCCAGAATCGTCAAACTGGCATTTAGTAAGGAGGAAGCCGACAAGGGCCACCGGACCCTTGCCAGTCGAGGAGATTTTGGCGCGGCTGCGGGCTGGGAGGCCTTGAAACAAGCCGTGGGAAGCCCGAAGTGCCTCCAGATGCAGAAAATCCATTGTTGTTTCAAGTTTCAACCTGGTTCCTCCAACTTCAATCTAGTTTCAAACTCCAGTTTCAATCTCGCCTCCCTAGAGGGGGGGAAGCAATTTCCTGGGTGCGATTTTGAAAAACCATGTTTCTCTGGAGATCACTGAGCTTTCCAATTGCACGCGCTAAAACCTACTGGCCACTTTGAAACTGGAGTTTGAAACTAGATTGAAATTGGAGGAACCAGTTTCAAACTGGAAAAACATGACATTTTCTGCATCCGCAGCTATTTCGGGCTTCCCAGGGCTCGTTTCAAGGCCTCAGAGCTCCTAGGTTCTTTTCCAAAAGCTGCCAGTATGCCGGCCGCCTCGCACAGCCACGGAGAGGCTAGCGGCTAGCGCCCATAATCGACCCAGTACCGCAGCCCGTTCCAAGCTTCTCGGGGCAGTCTTCATTTGCAACCCCCTCAGTTTTGTACCGTTTACCCATATTCGACCCAGTACTGCAGCCCGTTCCAAGCTTCTTGGCAGTCTTCATTTCTGCAACCCCCTCAGTGTTGTACCGTTGATGGACGAAATCCTGTATCGGCTTTCTGCTGCCACACATCCCTTCCAAACCCTTAATATTAACATTGCTGTCAAACAGCTCTCGAAACAACATGTGTGCGAATGGACGAAATCCTGCATCACGCATATGCTTCATCAACATTGACATTAGAGGGCGAGGAGAGTGAGCCAGTGAACATGTCATGCTCTTCGTTCTGTGGGTCATGCAGGATATATTGTCAACCCACCGTAATTACCAATTAACATTTTGGGGGTAAACAGGGTTCTGCAAGGGTCTAGGGATATTGGTGTAAAGCCATGGCAGTACATGGCCTGAATAACATCGAACAAGTTTTAGTACACGTTAGTTATTGTGTAAGCTTATCACAGGAACGCAACGGGATGTTATGACTATTGATTCCGACCCTTGAGAGTAGAGTTGAGGGGCAAGAGCAGGAGGACAGTGGGTTCCGTACTCGTACGGTGGCTGGCGTGGACTGGCTTTCTGGTCTTTAAACCCTAAACCCTAAACCCTAAACCCTAAACCCTAAACCCTAAACCCTAAACCCTAAACCCTAAACCCTAAACCCTAAACCCTAACCCACCTGCAAACTATCAGACCTGTCACCAAGAGCCAATGAAGGTCGCACACCCATCGACGGGAGTTTGCGGAGTGCAGCAATCGAGGCGGGCCTGGCCTCTCCAGAAAGGGTTTTGAACGGGTGAGGCCATAGCAGTTCGATATATAGGCTATTATATAGGTGCCTAAATAATTGCATTTAATATACCCCAAAAGCCTATTCCAATTGTTGAGGCCCCTACATTAGTTGGTCACTAGCAATCACCTCGCCACTTTTCAATCCCGAAGGTTTAAGCTAGACCCAGTTAGGACGATCAACATGCCCTTCGATGGTTTTGATACAGAGATCTGAATGATAAAGAATAGTGGTCCTCTAAGGCCCCTCGTTTACTAAAACACAGCACAGTATACCGCATAACCTTATTCTAAACTTAAAGGTGATGTCTAGCTGCAGATGGTTGTTGATTCTTGCTAAATGCGCTTTCCGGACGTGGTGAGCATGAAGGCCTCAGCAGGGCGGTGGCGGAAGCTCGATGCACAGGGTTTGTTTAGGGACACTAAGTCCACGGCCCAAAGTATACCCTAAATAGCCCAAGCCTTCTCAGCCCCGAAAGGCCTGTTCTCCTGCTGGGCTGTGGCAGGAAGCACTGCATCATTTTCTGCGCCTCGGCCATATCCCAGAAAGCTCTATCTAGGGGGTTGTGCAAACTTGTGGGGTTCATAGGGGTGTCTGCAGGTACTTGTATCGTACTGGAGGGATTTATAGAGTTTTATAGGAGTTGTAGGGGGTTTCCCCAAACTCTGCACAGCACCCGCCGAATCCCAGACCCGACATCCTAACTCCCATGCCGACACGAGGGACTCGAGTGACGATGCGAGGGGATTCCGAACCTGGACCCTGAACATGAGCCATCCCGAGTATCAGGACACCCAACATTCAAGGAAACAAAGCAAACAATGAACAATGCTAGCGAGTAAAACGATGTAAGAGGGGTCCGCTGCTTTGACAACACCACCTGTAGAGTTTCTCGTCTTCGGCGCTTTAGGGTTCGAAATGTGCTCCTTACAGAGATCGAAGGGTTTGATTAGCGAAACTCGTACATCCAAAACTGCAGAGTATAGCAGTTTAGGTCCCTGACCTTTAAACCGACACCTCGCATTCCCAGAGCCAGTGCCGCTTAAGAGCTCCCTTCATCAATACACCCCTCCATCTCGACCGAGAACTGAAACGTCCACAAGATTTGGCAAGCGGCGAGATTGGAAACAAAAAAGTCCAAGCAGAAGTCAGCAATGCGTAGCGGAAAGCATGGTAATTATCGCCGTGTATAAACCACATCACATGCGCTAACCCTCTACCTCAGCATGAATCCTACAGTCTGCAAGATTCTCCTGATATCCTGCGCCCGAACGAAACTCACGGCTAAACCTCAAATTCTCCACTCACATAACCACCGTGAAGCCTGAAATCCGAAACTCTACACCACACCCGGAATCAAGAAGTCGCAGGCCCCTGAACAAAAACCGAATGCCACTGAAGCCCAAGGTTTTGATCATAAGCCCTAATACTCTAAATTCCTCTGAAGCTTATAGCCTTGAACTAAACAGATCGAGCGGCCCGGTTGCCGCCTCGGATGACGCCCTTCGCAGAGGTGTGATCAAGGCATCGACGCCACAGAATGGCGAAGTAGGGTTTTGTGGCATGGGATAGTGATATAGTACAATCATATTCAGGAACCCTACGCAATAACACCGCTAATTATTCAGGCCTTGTATGTTGACTCTTTAGGACTCAAGCTAGAGCGTTGATTGATGCAGGGTCAAACGTCGAGCCCAAACCCCCAACCCTTACGCCCAGGCACACACACACACACATGAAAGTCTGAACCGTGTACCATAGAGCCTAGGCCTGACTGCGTACTATTGATGACTTGTGTATTCTTGCCAAGCTGGACAGCCGCCAGTACGCAAACTTAGTCCTTAACCACAAAGCGGAATCTCTCGAACCAATGAACCCTTTAGCCGATTTGATGTAGGGTTTACATCAGTGTTTGGGTGAGTGTCTGTAAGGCTGCGGTCGAAGATTGATGGGTGAATGTTTGAAGTTCTGATACGACTGGACTAGCAATACAAACCCTTAGCCCCAAGCTTCAACACCCCTGTCGACCTCGGGCCGCGCCTAAACCCTAAACCCTAAACCCTAAACCCTAAACCCTAAACCCCTAAACCCCTAAACCCTAAACCCTATAAACCCTAAACAGTAGCGCCTACTGTTCAGGATGTAACATCCAGTGGATCCTGCCCATGTAGGCTCTGAGGGGCTTTCCCCTTGCAGGGTAAGGGCTGAATACGGTTTAGGGTTTAGGGTTTAGGGTTTAGGGTTTAGGGTTTAGGGTTTAGGGTTTAGGGAATGGGTGAAGTCCTGAGATTTCTGAAGCAAAATGCTCAATGAATCCTTTCTTCCCTACGAGCATACAGCGGGCTGCCACGGTGTCCTACATTTTTGAGTTCGGGGTTTACGCTTTGTGGAACTAGCCATACCTGCAGATCCCAGATAGCTAGGATAAGGGGCATCGACGCTGCGGCCCCGGTACATTACAAGCCTCCTCGAAGCCCGAACACTGTTGGAATCTGCGTCAAACACTGTAGAGTTCGAATATCCGGTACCCTGATCCCTGAGTTTAAGATGTAATTGGGGCCTAGTAAAGGCCTTAATGAATCAAGATACTGAGCAGCTGAGCAGAAGGGCCCCGAAGCAAGGTACCCTGTTTTTGAGAAGCCCCCATCTTGTCCAGGTTCTGGCACAGGCAGCGCAGACTTCCCAAGCAGTAGCACTGTACAGACTGCTGGAGGCGCCGTCGCTTTGTGTCTTTTTGTGGTGAAGGTTCGGGGATGTATGGGGTTTGGGCGGTGCGTTTTGAGAAAAAGAGTGATAACCCTGTAACGCCATCCGAGTAAAACACCTAAAAAAGAAACAGATGCCTGGGGCCGGCATCCAGGGAACAGCCTCAGATTGCACCTGCATGAAACTACTCCCGGGCTTCTTGCACGGGGCATGGAACCCAGGGCTTCATGTGAGTGGTCATGCGGGCATCAGGGTCTTGGGGGTTTGCAAGGGAAACCTTGAAAGGCCGAGCAGGGAAACCCCAGCTTCCTGCCCAAAAGGGGCTCGGGACGTAACAGTAACAGTAACTGTTAGTTTGAATACCGTACTAGTAACAAAATCACCTATCACTTTACTGCTGATAGTGGTAGCAACCGTAGTGAGGGCAGTCTTATTAGACATCGTTCAGAGCTGAAGCTGTCCAGCATAGCTGGGTGTTAGTTGCCCACCAGAGGCCACCCAAGGACGCCTGCGGACACCTTCATAGCGAACGAGCGAGCGAGAGGGAGGGAGAGAGAGAGAGAGAGCGACAGAGGGACAGAGTCGCAATGTTAGTTCGGGGCTCCACTTTCGCAAGCTACGCCCAAACTTGCACCCTGGTTGTGGCAGGAGGAGAAGCTCTATCAGCCCTGGAAGACAGCGCCGCCGGTCTGCAGGATGTTTCGGGTTCAGGATTTAGGAGCTTTACGTTTCAGGGTTTAGGGTGTGAGTGGTGTGGAATGCAGGGTCAGGGCGCAGATTTCAGGGAGTCGGGTTCCCGGCATCCTAGACCCAACACATTTCTAGGTTTTACACACTAAGCAAACGACGTTCATGTGAAACCCTTTGCAAGCCCTTTCACCCGAAGGGAGTGCACAGGCCTTCTACAGATAGTACAGGCAGCATGGAATTTAGATTTTAGATTGGCCCACTCCAGATAACGATGACGATGACGATGGTGATATGTCGAGTAGCAATGATATTGATGTCATTCTGTCGCTGCCGTTGGTGAAGAAGAAGAAGAGGCTCAATAGAATGCGATAATAAGATGTCAATGTAAATGACCGTGTGTGGTCGAACAGGATAGTAGTTCCTAGACCCTATCCCATGAGTACTAGAAGCCCTGAGCTATAACTTCCTGAGCCATCAACCCTCAAGGAACCTTCTCGATCTCCATGGGATGACTGTCGAAGTCGCCCTTATGGCCATGTTTTCTGCGCTGCTAACGCGGGCGCTGGAAGATGCGACAAGGTGCCCGACTTTCCCCAGCAGCTAGTGCGTAGTGAGTAGTGAGTGAAGCTCTGCTCGCGCTTCTGAATGATGCAGCTTGTATATCCGAGCACTCAAGGAGCCTGAGCCCAAAGTCCCCAATTGACCCGAGTTCAGGCCCTTTCTGCAGCCGACACCGCAAAGCTGAGGCCCCCTTTGGGGCTTATCGTCGGCCGCGGCCTTCACTCGGAGGAGGGCGTCGCCATCCTCAAACCTGTTCTGCAGGAGGCTTCGGACATCGGATGGGGAGACTGGAGCTCACGGCTTTAGGCGTTTAGGGTTCCGAATCAGGTTGCTCCTTTTGTTGAAGGGGTTCGTTTCAGGCTTCAGAATAGGCTCCGTTAAACTAATTAGGGTTGAGGGTTCAAAGGTTAAGGGCGCTTTATCGTATATGCTTCTGATTTAGTTCCAGATAGCATCCTACATGGTTGTAGCTAACCTTTAGCCTTTTGGCTTGCTTTGTGCTTGAACTCCAGTCCCAACCTCGGGGTCCTCACGTGCGACATCTCCCTGTCTGAACCCTCAATAGTCCCATTTGTCAGAGTCCTGAAGCAACGCATCACATCTCCTGAATCACGCCTCGTCCGTCGCCGGAAAGAAGCAGCGACAGAGTCTTCGGCACAAAGAGTCCATCAATATTTTGCGCTTTCATGGTAGGGGGTCTAAGCATGAGTATGGGCAGTTCGAGGTTCGGCGTAGAACACTACGATGGCTGTCAGCACCACGCATGAAAGTGCTTCCACGAATCACCGGACTTTGCATACGCAGTATGAACGAGTAAACTTCTTGATCCCCGGCGAGCCTGACCTTGAGTTTCTGTATCCTCTGGAGGTGCTCTCGGAGCTTGAAGTTCCGTGGAGGGAAGTGACAGAGGGCAGGTGCACATGGGCGGCTTGTTGCACCTGCAACGCAGTCAATCTGCTGATAATTGTGGGTGCTTGTGGTCGCGGCGGTGTCGTTGCCCACAATGATGATGGAGATGGTGATGGTGAGGGTGATGATGATTCGGGTGATGAGGGTGATGGTGTTGGTGACGAATCCGTGACGATGTTGTCGTTGATCATGATGATAGTGGTGATGATGATGACGACGAAGATGATGGTGCTGCTGCTGATGATGATGAGGGTGATGAGGGTGATGGCGATTGTGATGGGACCCGTGGTGATGATGATGATGATGATGATGATGATGGTGAATGTAACAGACAGTGGATGGTGATAATGGATGGTGATGGCAATGGTGTTGATGATGACGACTGTTCCCGATGCCGCTGAACCCTATTCCCCACCCCTCGTCACTCCTCGCAAATCGATGTTAGCCGCATACGAGCAATCGTGCCTTTTGACATGGACAGGAAGCGGGAGCTTGCCTGACAGGAATCAATTCAATAGCAAGTTCCCTTAGCTGCTAGACATCACAACCCCGAGAAGAAGAGCAACAGCGGCAACTTGAATAGCAGCAACAAATTACCAAAATGTGTCTGTGTGAGTGGGTAAGCTTCCTAACAACAGTTGTCGCAAGCATCATTTGCGCCACATCCCTCCATGCTGACGGCCAGGATGGTAGAAGCGTCATGACAACGATAAATCTGATGCTCATCGTCGTCGAACAATAGTGGCAGCTGCTGCGATGCCATGCTCCTGCCGCCAGGATCTACATTTCCGCAGCGGAACCGCTGTCGCTAGCCGACTCGCAGCCAAAACGGACAGCACTGGCACGAACTTACGTATTAATTTGTCCTTGTCCTGGCAAGATTTACTAGCATCCTGGTGCCTCAGGCGTGGTTCTCTCATGACTAACATGTAACTTGTCAAGCAGTCTCATTGGACTTGATTTGGCCCTGTGTTTATCAGCTGATCTTCTTATTGGCACGAATGCTCAAACCATTAAGCCTCAGCCAGAGCTCTGAAAAATTCGAACAAAGAAACAACTCGAAGCTGAAACTTGACATATAGAATGCAAACAGTCCTGTGCTGCAAGAAGGTTGGGATTGTAGGGTGTTCCTGTGGCCGCCGGCGTGCCTTTTACGCACGGCAGAGTAGACGAAACCCATTCAGACTTCGGCCCTTGCACTTGCTTTCTCAGGGGGTATAGGTTTCAATGAGACCTCGGAGATAAACACCGTGCAACCTCAACCCGCGATCAATCCAAACCCCAGAACCCCTATGTAAACCCATGAGCAATGATCTGTGCCACAAGTGTGAAAAGGAGTGAGTGAAGGTCACACTTGCCATTCGTTTTGAGTCGAAAACCTGGAGTAAGCTCCTAAACTTCATGAGCAGCCGAAAGATCAAGGGGCTTCCGCACCTTCGTTCTTGTCTTAAGGCTGTTCAGGGTTTCCAGATTTGGGAGCCCAGTGACCTGCCTGTCCTTGCATACCTGTAGTAGCCCATGACATGGCTAACTGGGCTTCCGGAGGTTCGTGTCCCTCATGCCGCAGTTTCAGCTCCATCGGCGCCATGAACCACGGGTGCAACAAGCCAGGAACCTAGCTAAGTCTCTGGAATTCGGCGGCACTTACGTCTACTAGCTTCACATGTGGGGGCTAGCCTGTCGCTTCTTATGAAGCATCAGCTGTTAAACAATGAAGGCCTGAGGCCTAAGCCCGAACTCAAGCCTATGCCCCAAAGCCCCATAAGCGTGTCCAGCAATCCTCAAATAGACGCAGCTGCAAAGATGTGGTGTGTCCTGGCCTGAGCCACGGCAGCCAGCACCGTCATCCCTTCTCCTTGCCAGCAGCATGGTCTTTCTGCCGGGCGCTCATTCTGCTGATACGGGCCTTCTTTCAAGGATGTACAGGGGCTTCCGGCACGGTGTGTCGGCCTCACAGCTGGCGTTATGGAGTGCGGTGTCCGGCCTCAGGGTTGCAATGTAGATGTCGGGCTCTGGGTGGGTGAGAGATTTCGAAAGCTTAGACTTGGGTTTTGGGTCGTGGATGTGAAAATGCAGGGCATGAGGCGATGCAGAACCCTCAGCGCTCCTAAGCCACACCTGACAGACCCGAACTCAACTCAACACTTTGATCCTGACTACCAGCTCAACACATGCGCTTCTGCAGGTACGTGGCCACCTTTGTCGTCGGCTTTGCTGCCATTGCGTTGTGGGTAGGGGGCCTTAACATGCAGCCACCAGCAGTCGCCAGTAGTCTGATCCTCCCCTTTCCCCCAAGAAGATGTGCCAGCAAGGCGAAAAACGTGAAGATTCCTCACATTGCCACTCCGCAAAAATCGACCAGTTTTTGATCGGAAAGTCATCCGTACAGCCCGTGTCGTTGAAAGCTGATCTCTTAAACACCCGCAAGAAGGATCTACGAGCTTGCGCTTTTGGCATTGCTAACGCGTGAACTCGAAGTATTGCCACCGCACCCACACAGTGAAAAACAGCTGCAGAGCTTCAATGTCGATTGCAGAGGGGTTAGTTTGGGCCTGAGTGCTGAGGAAATTTTGTTTTCGGGATTGTCTTGGAGGGAAGGACGGTGCATCAGTGTCTCCCACACTTGTACAGTTTCTGCATGCAGAACTCATAACAGTGTTCCTCTGAGGTTGCAATGGTCATGGTTGAATCGTGATGCAGGAGTCTGCGTAGCTAATCAAGGTGATGAAGCAGGTGGTGTCATAGTGACGACGAGATATGGATGCTGATGACGATAAATGTTTAATGGTCCAGTGATGTGGCGAGGATGGGTAGATTTTTGGTACATGTGATGGTACTGGTACTGGTCGCCGAACAGGCTGTTTGCACACGAAGCGATGAGGTGCCTACCACTGTGATGCTTCTTGCTAAACCTCAAGCCTTCAGAGCCTAAAGCCCTGAAGACCCCAAGACCCAAAACCCTAAAACCTGCTATCACCTTGAATTCGCGGCCTGAGGGGTTTCGCCCCAGGTCATTCTGAATCCGGGCAAGGAAGAGAAGCTGAAGGGTGAGGACCCAGATGCTTAGGATTAAACCGTTCGCTGCACGGCCCTGACGCCGATGAAGGTTTAAGCGAATGAGTTAAGATGCTGGTGATGATGATGATGATGAGAATGGTAACCCTACAACCTAAATCCACAACTGGGTTCTGATCCCAAACCCTTAACCCTAAATCCAAGTTTCTGATAGTCGCAGTGGTACTTCGTCGGGCCGTTTTTCGGCTCGGGGCTTCTGAGTGGGGGGCTCCTCTTTGTGATTCTGTGAGGATACGAAAGGTTACGATAAGATCATTTCGAGGGTACCATATGGACACAATCAGAAGCATGATGAAGCATGCAACAAAATATGTTTAGGGTCAAGGGTTTCGGTTGCTAGGTGACGGGCTGTTGGCCTAAGGCGTGTCAGGAGGACTCTTTGGAACCGGGCTGCGTGCTTTTCAACCCGAAACCAAACACGCTCATACCCTGAAGCCTCCATTAACGAAGCCGGCCTTGCAGCCTCCAACCCCTAAATCCCTAATCCCAACTGAACAAAACCCCGGATGCTAAGCCTCAAATCCTAAACCCCTAAACGCAAAAGCCCTCGGTTTAAGTTGAAGAAGCTCTGACATCGACTGCGCTGCTGATTGGCTCAAAAGGGGACAAGTTTTGCTGGTAGAGCCTCTGGTTGAAACACCAAGGCATCGGAAATAAGACATGCACAATAAGCTAAGAGCATATCATTTCTCAATACCATATCGTACCATAGCCTAGAACATTACATGATATGATTTGACATAATACCATAGAACCTCATGCAATAAAATGTCATATCTATGCAGCACTCATATGATATTGGGCACTTGAATCGTCGCAGCCACCGTCAACCCTACAGACTCAGAACCCAAATCTCTACAGCTTAAAACATGAGCCTGCGACCCCACACAGCCTGAGCATCCTACTTGTAGGAAGAAACCCTTGAAGGAGCCCTTGAAGGATTCCAAGACTCGCCTGAACCCCGAGGCGGTGAACCCCCCTACCCCTAAATCTACGCGCAGAGTGTGGCGGTGCAGGGCCAAAGGTTCAGATCTTAATGCTGACGACTTTAAGGGGTGCAGGGGTTACAGATTCAGAAACAGAAGGTTTCGGGGCTGATACTGATGAGATCAGAAGCGCCTTCTTTAGAGGCTAATTAGGCTTTAGGAGTTCGAGTCCGCTTACTCCTCTGGCCTAAACCCGAAGCTTTGTCAAATTCCCGGCCCCGAACCTTATCAAATGAAAAACCTTTGCCTGTACAGGTCATGGCAGTGCGGCTGCAATATCGTGGCACATTCCTCCATACGGAAAGGGGAGACACCATCAAGAGGTCTCAGAAACTTGGAAACAAAACGGTTGGAAAAGGGAGTTCAGGTGTACCGGAAGTCGGCGTTTCATTTGTGAAGAGCTTCTCTAGATCCGGTCGAACCCCAAAGCCTGAGCCTGACTCGGGTCACACTTGCTCCTAGCCATTCTGTGATGCATCGAGTTACATCATGTTTCGTTTACGCCACAATGGGATCCCTGGCTAAAGAACCGCTCGGTGAGTATCAAGGACCATAACCAAAGAAATCTACAGCTCCGGGCTCCGAAGTGTAGGATCTGTTGATCTGAGGATGTGGGCATCAGGATTCAGGGTCAAGACTTTCGTGCCTCAGGTGATCAATCTGCGCGGCCCCAGTCCTTCGAAGTGGGCGTGTTGGGGTTGTTCATTCCTACCTGCCACGTGTGTTCCGCTAGGGTCCTCGGGTCAACGGGAAGACATAAGCTACTCGTATCTGTCTGGTGTTCTAGTTTTCTTGCCTGCGCAATGGTGATGAAGAAGCTGATCATGACCGTTACTCGTATGTAAATCTCCCAACAATACCGGAGCTGTTGAGACTTCTCAAGAGTCCTGCAGCCCACGTAGAGTAGACCGAAAGACTACTAGTTTGGGAGCCTTTAACCCGAAATCCTTTAGGAGACGCCAACCCTTTGCCTGTCGCTCAGGAGTTGTCCCCCTGTCAGCACGCAAATTCAACCACGGAGTCCTGCGGACACCAGGGTTGCAGAGTACATCAAGGACCGGTGGAGAGAAACAAATCTAGTAGCCCTAAACCCTAAACCCTAAACCCTAAACCCTAAACCCTAAACCCTAACATATACAAACCCATGGCAGTAGAGGCCTTCGGTGACTCATATCCGAGCCCTAAACCCTAAACCCTAAACCCTAAACCCTAAATCGCCGAGCCCTCACAGTCGAATCTGATGTTCACCTTGGAAGTCGTATTTGTTCTGTCGGGGCCGGGGTCGAGGCGGCGTGCTTACTGGAAGCAGCCTGAGGTGGGGAGCTGAAACGGTGTAGTTTTGGAAGGGGTTAGAGGATGGGAGAGGCAAGGGTTTGGGGTTTAGTTAGGGTCGACAATGCCAAATCCACAAGCCTGAAGATACGCTGGTGCTTAACATTCAGGCTTGCTCCAATGCCAAAACCCGGAGCACATCTCTCGAAAGCGGGTTGTCGTTGCCCCAGGCCGTCGCATTCCCCTTAGCAGGGGTGATTTTCTGAGCCGAGCAACATGCACCAGACTGCAGGGTTGAGCTGTAGCAACGAGCATCCAACATTACTTTGCTGCACTAGGCCATACTTTAGTAGACCTCACCAGGAGTTTAAACTCAAGCTCGCGATGCCCCACGGCCCCACGTGACTCGGCATGGAAGCCCCGCCTTAAAACTGAAATCCTAAAGCCTAAGCCTTCAAGCCCAAACTCCAGGAGCTTCCGCAGAGAGTCGAAACTCTCCGTGCGCTCCATCCACCTCCCCTTCGCCGGCCCCAGTAGGCACCGCTTATGTAGGATTCCAGGTTGAGGGCTGATAGAAATTCAGGGCTCAATGTCGGGAGGAGGCGTTATGGCAGTCTGAGACTCCAGGATTTCCTAAATGTCATGGGGTTTAGGGTTTAGGGTTTAGGGTTTAGGGTTTACAGCTTCCGGTCACGCGCAGTGAATTTTTACTCTAAGCGCCGACATGCTGATAAGTGGCTGAGAAATACTACCCCTTCCTGCAGTTCGAAACAGTGAACCCCCATGAAGCATTTCGAGTTTACAGCCCTTAAACCTTGGCGGTTTGAAGTTCGTTAAACAGACCTCAGCTCAAGCTCCGCACCTCCGAGAAGCGAGTGGAGCGTATCAGAAGTTCCGGCTTTGAATCTTGCAGCTAAAGATTGCTCAGATGTGTGTCGTGGGCTAGACGTACCGGTTGTTTTCATCTATTTATTCTCATGTGCATACACAGATACATAGGAAATACTCGCCCGAGTTTGCAATCGTAGTTTTGGGGTACCTTAGAACCATACCCAAGATGTACAGCCTCAGCTGCCGGTAGTCCTCCTGCGCGTGGCTGGAGTAGCAATAAAACCTGGTACAGCAGGCACCAGAAGAGTCGGAATGGTGGAACAAGCGAAACTCGTGCTACATAGCAGCAATGGTGGGGCAGAACTCTATCAGTCGCAACACCCGCAATGACAATGAAGTTGCAACCACAACCCTTCGCGGTGGAGGTGGAAGGTGTGACAGGGATAGTTTGGAGTTTTGGAAGAGCTCAATAGGGGTTTAATGGGAGAAGTTGCAGAGTCTACAGAGCTTCATAAGGGTTTCAGATTCCAGAGCCAGGGACTCTAAACCCCAAAACCTCGAATCGCGGTTCTGTGGCGTCAGAAAATGCACGTTTCTATAGAGCAACAAGTCGGATTTTTCAAATTCCTATTGCGTTGAGTGTACCGTTGTAAGTGTTAGCTTGCCCGAATCTGTATAGTAGAAAGAACCCTACTTTAAAATCCCCCATGCAAGGTCCAACATGCGCACGTCAAAGGCTGTATCGTGGCATTGCAGACTTGAGCTGCCGGCCCATGCATGAATTCGACTGCAGGAGGGCCCATGCAACCTCAGGGGTTCATGAAGGTGTTGTCCTTCGGTTTTTCGGCATAGGGCTCTGAGTTTAGGGTGGTGCATGCTGCAATTCCCACAGCCCCGTCAGTCAAAGGTGCAGGGCGCAGCTTTCGTAGCTATGCGACGATACGAGCCACAAAGTCTCGAAAAAAAATGTGGCATGCTATGCCAAGACCTAACTTATATGGGAAAGGCTCTCTGCTGAGGGCGTTAGCTTGCAGCACCGACGATGAATTCTGTCTGCTCGTGCAGAGGCTTTCGCGTTTGGAACGGGCTATGTTTCGCTCGGCTTCTCTTTTGTCAATACATTCCCAAACAATTCTGAGAAGGAAGAGTTGAAGCATGTAGCCTCGGCCACCCTAGACTAGACCCCAAACCCCACTCCAAAGCACTGTGAGCCCCCGCATGTGGACTCTCCTGTTTCTTGGCAGCTTCGCTGATGTTTTAAAATGCACGACAAGTCGATGCACCACCACGAGCGGCCGGGCTCCCTTCTTGAATATACTTCACGTTTTCGTCAATAGGACTTGAAGCCTGCAAAGCTCGAGAAATTCCGTGCAGGAAATCCTGCAACGCTGAGCCCTAAAACCGTAGGGATTCCCTCATTTCCGCCTAGGAGAAGAGGGATCTCGGTCTCTCGGGAGTGTACTTGCGCGTCGCAATCCGTGGGTATGTTTCGGCACTAGGCTCCCACTCGAGTCCACATCGGGTCTCGAGGAGGGCACGCCTTTTGTCCCAGAAGTTCCAGATTCCTGGGCCCAGGGTCAGAGAACATATTTTTGGGTTCTCTTCACCGCGGATCTAGGGCCTCGGGTCTAAGAAGAAGAAGAATAGTAATCATGCGAACGACAACCTTTGATGAATGAAGGTAATCATAATGATAGTGCTGGTACTGACATGTGCAAAAGGATGCAAGGATGTACGATGCAGGGCTCGCCGGCCATGAGTCCTTCCAGCATTTTGGGTTTAAGGCCGGGTTGAGGGCTCCCGAAGCCGATACTCTAAGCCCCTGTAATCTGAATGCCTTAAATTTTGAGACAAAGACGCCGCAAGCGGTAAACCCTGAAACCCTGAAGCCCAAAGAGGCCCAGAAGCCTAAGCCCGTGATAGTGTCCGAGTGGCAGCGACACAAGAAACCCGGAACTCGAACCATCCGAACCACACCCTGCAACTCGAGGCACAGAACTGAGGGTTTTCGGGTTCAAATCCTTCTTGAAAGATGTTTTCGAAAAAACTGTTTGGGGCTCTATCGGGTGTTGTCAGAGTTTTAGAATCTGTTTTAGACCCTTAGGTGTAGTTCCCTTTTGGGGCCACCTTTCAACAAGAGATCACCCGAAGATTAAAGGAAGAGTTTTGAGCCTAAATGTTGAGCCCGGAATCCTCAACTGTACGGGAAAGCGGCGGCCAGCTATACTTCAACTCGACCAACTCCAATGCCTTAGGCTCCGAAATTACTGTTCTTGGCCCGTCCCTAAATGTTTGGTTGTTGGCCCTCGTACAAGGACTTGAGATGCTCAGAGTCAGACCTGCCGCTGGGCCCAGTGTTTGCTTCTTGTTGGGTTCCTTCCTCTCCGCCGCCTCAGCAGGAGCGAGCTTCAGTTTGCGAACGGCCTTTTGGACTTCAAACTTCACGGGTTCATATGCTTCGAGCTGTAGGCTAGGAGATTCGTGTAGGGCTGAGGGTCCTGCATTTTCCGCATTAGGTTTGACGTTCAGCGTGTTTGAAGCGGCCTGTTGGCGGATCGTGTCGCAATTCCACTTCATCGGCTCCGTACATTCTGAGGGAGCAACGAAATCTGAAATGCCAACACCTTAACCTGCTTCGGCTTCAGTTCTGAATCGGCATTCGCTGTCTGCAATCATTGTTACCGTATAATAAGCTGTAGTACATACTGGACGCGATTAGCATTGTTGGTTATGTGTTGATTCATTGTCGTTCCTGCTGTGCTGCCTTAACCCCTAATTCCATTTGTTTATAGAAATATATATATATATATATATCGAGAGAGAGAGAGAGCGATATATATATATATATATACAAAAATATATACATATATACCCTGCTACGAAGCGCTTCAAGAACTCTGTGCCTGGCGTGCTGTCTGGTACCGGTGCATCACGGTTTGGAGCTTGGCAACCCAGTATCTGCGTAACTTTTATAAGCTCAGGTGTTCATGCTTATGGCTCTTTAAATCAGGATCCGATACTTTCTGTCTGCTTTGTTAACATGAGGATCCTTTAGTTTCCGAAGCACCACATGCATTGAGTGCGTGTGTGTGGTTATGCCCCTAGACTCGTCAACCCGTGGTTAGTCTCGCCACCATGGAGAAGCGCAGCAAGCCTTGAGCCCGGGAAGCTTTAGGCCCAAAGCTCTAGCTACACACCCCCGAAAGTCTGAGGGCTTGGGTGCGTGGAATGGGTTCACATCGCAGCATCAACTTAGGCCCGGTTCAACACTACGGGGTTCAAACTGGTTCTGGCACTGCCTGGTTCTCGCCCCTGTAGAGATCCAAGCGGTGGGAAGAGGAAGGCTCTTTCAACGCTACTCCTTTGCTTCCGTCTGCACTGGTGGAGCCTCGCGACGGAAAATTCTCGGCCCTTAGTCCTGCAGGTTTCGAAAGGGACTGCGACCCTCAAGCTAATGGTTGCAAATACCCGATCCGCGCCGATGGCACACGAACGGAGCATAGAGCGTCCAGTCCAGGCATCAACGGAAACTGATGCAGCCGAACACCTATTACTATCCCCAAGTTACTGCGACTACAGGCGTAATTTCACGCACCGCTGCTGTGCGCATTGATCTCATGATGCTGCATGTTTTGCCTTATTTAACTGACACAGCAGCGCTCTTTCCCTGAGTGTTGTGGAAGGCTGTTAGTGGTCGCCAGGTACCGGGCAAAGTCCGCCACAGGGTTTGTGAGGTATCGTTCGTACTTTGCGGGTGAGTCTTTTCTATTTTCCTTAGACTCACTCTGAACCCGAACTTAAGCTTGACTTTCAAAAAACGGTGCTCCGCAGCTGAATTCCAAGCAGCAGGACAGTGTTGTTGAAGATGATGACATACCTCTCAATGAGGACTCGTTGCAAAGCCTTCTCTCGCATTTTTCTGGGGCTGGGGTTTCTGGTTTCGAGCACAAGGTTCAGGGGGACATGTGGCTTACAGCTTAGGGAAGTTGTGTACGTTCTAGGTTCTTCACCGCAGCCTCCGGCCCCAACAACCAACTGAAAGACTTGCGCAGGCCTCAAAAACGAGTATGTAACAGAAAGCAAAAGCAGCCCGAACTTCTTGCGGCCTTACAGCCCTGAAGGGTAAAGCCTCCGATTCACTTAAAGCCTTGAGAGCCGCATCGCAAGGAAAACCCATACAAGAACACGGAGACACACACACAAACACAGACGCTCGAAATCTGCCTGAACTCAACCTCTAACCCAAAACTAGGCCAGCCACATTTACCCCAGACCAGGAAACCTAGAACCCCACCCGCCAGCCCCAACCCCAACACCGCACGCATCATCGCGCAATGACAGCAGTGAAATACGTCGCGGTCACACAATGGGAGCCTTGATCACCAAAGGAGTTCACAACGATAGGTCCACTTCGCCCCATAGTGGCCATAGTGCGGAATGGAAAGAAGACCAAGCAGGCTTGTATTTTGCATTACCGTAAACTCCCCAACTCCGCCGTAGAAGCCCTCCAGCCCGACAATAACTCCAAAGGTGCCTAGAATCCTTAGCGTCCCTGCTTCGTCTTAACCCTACAGTCAACCCATAAGAAGAACCCTATAAGCAAGACTGCCCGAGGAGCCCTGGATACCGACCATGGAAGTCAAGGATTGGACCGAGGCGCTCATGGCGTTGAAAAAGGCTTTAGTCTACGAAGGGTGGACCAATACGAAGGGCTTAGACTGAAGACAGTCGACTCTAAGAGGGTTGAGTGTTTAAGTAGGCCTTCGGCAATAAAACTGTAGTTGTAGGGTTGAGGGTTTATAGGGTTCGGGATTAAGAACTCAGCGTTTCGGGTTCAGCGGTGTAGGGTTAAGGTTTCAGGGCTTTGTGGGTTTTGTATTTCGGGGGCCCTGAACCGTTACACGTCGCAACCCCGAGCCCGAAACCCTGAAGTACGTAGTCTGGCATCTTGGGATTGAGGCCGGTGGACCATAGCCAACCGTTTAGACCCATAGTTCAAGATTGTTGCGGATCACGGTTGACTACCATGCTTTTGACCTCGCAGCCCTAAACCGTAGAACTTCGACCCCATCTGGCAGCTAACCTTCAACTCTAAGATTACAACCCTAAACCCTCGAGCTTATCATCCAAAACAGTTAGCTTTGAGCTTGAGAAGCCGTCATCTCTGGATGGCCGTCTGTGGGGACCTTCTTGACAAGGATTCTTGGGGGGGCTCGAGGTAATGTAGGGTTTAGGATTCACGCTTTGGGGCGCAGGATGTCAGGCCCCTATAAAACAAGGTTTCAAGAAAGTTCTGATTCAGGGTTATCACTTAGAATCGTATAGCTTCAGCGAGTTATCGGTTTTACCGAATGCTCTCACGAAACATCTGACTGTCAACTTTTGCCGAAGGTCCCTGGACCCTTTCTTAGCGAGCTCAGGCTCTGTCGCAACCAGATTGCCAACCTCAAATCCTCAAGTGGTGAATCCTAGCCACGAGCCTCACGCCTCCAATCTGCATGTGCCCAGGGCCCGCGACTGCAAACTCCTCACTTCAAACTTCGAAGCACTATTACCCAGACCCTAAAGTGCGAACCGTCACACCTTACATCTAAATGAAGTGCCAAAGCCCGAGATCGCCCTCCTCAGTCTCAATACACGGAGCGAGGCTGCCAGCTTCGAATCATGCCCATGGAACTTCGGCCACTGCGAAAGCGTGGAGGATGTTCTCAATTGTGACCTCCGACCTAGTTTCCTGGTCTAGAAGTGGCGAAGCTCAAGTTTGCGTTTGAGAGTTCAAGGCCCGCGCCCGTAGGTCTGTTGGTGACATGAATTCAGGAGTTGGGTCGCAGGCATAAACGCTTACGCCTTGGGGATTTTGCTAACTATAGCTTCAGTCAAGCTTTCTAACATACCTGACTCCCTGCGCCTAGGTTGGTTCGAGCCCTTAAACCCGATACACCTCAACCCTCGAAGCTCAAGTGACAAAATTCATGACGATCTTCGCAGATACTATATCCCGTGGCGACTTAGCTAAACAACCTTGCCGAGGAAGGAGGCTAGCCAGCTAGGCAGGCAGGCAAGCAGGCAGGCAGGTGGGTAGGCGCACATGTTGAGTGAGAGACAGAGAGAAGGGCGAGAGAGAGAGAGAGAGAGACGGAGAGACGGCGAGACACAGAGAGTGACAGGGAGAGAGAGAGAGAGAGAGACAGAGAGGGATAGATCTTGGAGAGAAGAAGAGGTTAAGCCGCGTGTTTGTCGCCATTGTTAATTGTATACTATAATTTGAGCGATTGTTGCCAAGACGGCAGCTACTAGGCTACTAGATACTACTTCTGTTGGCATTTCTACTTCCATTGCTACGTCTGGTACTTGTTCCTCAGAAACGACTGCTTTCGAAGATGCTAAGAGGTATTTGGAAGACCCCGGTACCGAAAGACCTGCATGTCGGCTTCGATGCCATGCAGAAGTCTGTCGGCTCCTGAGCTTGCTGGTGGAAATGGAATGGGCTGATGTGGTGGTATCCGCACTAAAACCGGAGCTATGCGCACGCGCGGACGCTGCTTGTATCAGAAAACTCGCCGGGCAGCTGCAATGCCCGCAGCACGAAGCGTTCCAGATTCCAGAGCATGACAGTCGTTTTGGTCATGTTGGCATGCGTAGACAGCCCAGCGAAAAGACTAAGAGCAGCTTGCTTAGTGTTGGCCTAGGTTTCAGAAAAGGTGATGATCAGTCTGCGTGTTTAGATTTCTTGGACAGTCTCGGCGCTTCTGGGTTGCCGTCAGGCTGCGATGCTTAAGGCATCTACTTCCCATGTACACACCATGACAACACTGAGGCTTATGATTATGGTGCTGAGGGGGATGGGGATGAGGATGAGGACAAGGATGAGTATGATGGTGATGGCCCCTGATCATGCTTGTGATGTTCAAGATGACGAGGGGATGAGGATAAGGATGAGCACGATGACGATGGTCATGGTGATGACGTTCTGGATCGCGATGATGATGATGATGATGATGATGATGATGATGGTGTTTCCAAGCTTTGGATCCTGCAGAGATGAAGCATTGTGTCACTAGGGCCCTTATACTACCAGCGAACAGTCAGCACTGCAACGCTGAGCCGTAGGACTTCCACACAAAAAGGGGTGGATAAGAACAGGTTTCGGCACAAGCCAAGTGATGCTGAGGCTGCTCGTGCTGTTTAAATGTAGCTTATGTGGAACTCGAGGGGCTGATTTCGGAAGGCTCCAGAGGAGCATCAGAGACCCCACTGACCATCAAAGACCCCGCTCTTTCAGACGTGTGCCATCTTCGGAGTAATGCTGCGGCAGCGACCAACATACCTGCAGACTCCAGAATCGGCATTTTCATGGAGCAAGTATTCCTCTCTTTTCGTCGGGATTCAAGTGTCCTGTGCGACCTAGGTGAAAAGCGTCAGCATCGCTTATGTTAAGCTCGGGACCCTCAAAGAGGCTGCTGCAGGGAGGGGCTTTGGGGGAGGGGGTGTATTGGGGGGTATTCAATTTTCCTTCAACCCCTAACCCTAAACCCCAAACTCATCTCCAGACGAGAAGAGAGGCAAGATGCTTCGTGCTTAGGGCTCAAGCTGCGGTGCGGAGTCCGGCTCGTGGCTGCAGACCGTAAATCCTGAAAATGTGAGTTCTACAGCAGAGGCCAGGCAAAAACTTTAGAGCAAGGACAAGCATCAAAGTACAAGCCCGATGTTCCTGGGCCCTAGACCCATCTAAACGCGAAGCTGCAGATTCACTACTGCATCCTCTACACGCTACGCTCCGGCGCGGAGCTCTTCGGTGGGGCTCCCTCCGAGCAGACAGCCGGTCACTGAGCACAGGGGTGCTAGGACTTCGGGGATCACTGAGTGTTTGCTTTTGTTTATGATTCCTCTTGTTAGGATTTTGCTACTTGGGGGCCTTAATAATTAAAGTGCACTTTTGCGGGCTCCTGATTATATTTTTATTGACCCCAAAACCCTAGTCTAATTATTAAGGCCCCTACTTTAGCTTTTTTGTTTTGGGGCTTGAAAGTTCACTGGGGGTTATGCAGTGAGAAGAGTTCCATACAGGTTCTGTAAGGACTCTAGAAGGGTTCTATACAGGGGTTAGATCTACTAAGTCTTGTGGCGATGAGTCAAGAGTTTGTGGACAGAGGAGTTGATATTTGTGGGGGGCCCTGGTTGTTGGTTGATGCTCTGTGGTTTCAGAACTTGGGATTTCGTGACAAGGGAGTGTGAGAAGCCAGGATGGGGTCTTTGAGAGTGTTGTTTGGGGACGACGAGCTTTTACCAACATCTGTATGAGTGTAAAACCGAAGCGGCGACATGGCCCAGGAAGTTCCGGGCAGCCCCGAGTTCTCGCCAAACTAGAAGACGCAAGTAGGCCAGTAGGATCTTGAATCCCTGTCTCTAGTGTTGAGGCACAAACCCTAAATTTTAGAACCGCGGCATATCCCTTCATGCGGATGATACTGGATGGACACGTTCCCGGTTCCCATTGCAATCATCTTGGAGGCGTTGAAGCCAGCAGCCCACCAACTGGACCACAGCAATCCTTGATCAGTGGTCAATAAGGTAACCATAGTTATTGTTTCTACTGGCACGTACTCATATCTTGACCTACTAATGTTACTAAGTCTCATGATCCTCCAAGTAAACCGATCCGAAAGAGCTCACCTTGCCAACCCTTCAGACCTATTCCGGCTTTTGAATCGATAACTTCGATAACTACCTCTGAACTCGAAACAGCACCTTGGAGTTTGTCAAACAACCCTGAGCAATTGCAGGAAGCCCTTACTTGACAACCCTCATAAGCCCATTTCTAACTTGACTTTCTGTAAACCTCGATCAGCCTATTTGGAGCCCCAACAAATCTTGTAAAACCCAGTGAAGCAAGACCCCGCGCTAGGTGGGCCTGGAATTGGAGCCAGGCGAGGAGACCGGCTTAAGGCGGCGCAGGGGAGCGGAGGCCAGATTGTATTTTTTAAAGGGCTTTGTAGGGTGTTAGGGGGTTTAGGCGTTCAGAGTGTAGCGTGTTATGGGCGGGGGTTTTTCGAAAGGTCTACAAATCCTCTTGGGAATGCTTCGATTGCCCAGAGTTGCATTTTAGTTCGTGTTGTGTTTCCTGGGCTGCGAGGCTTTTCCAGGGTCTTCAGGTTTTGGGCCTTGGGGGTTCTGAGAGCATCAGATTCTGAGTTCTCCTTATTGTACATTCCCCGGGACCAGCACGGCGCGAATAACTTCTACTCTTATTATTCTGCTCGCTGCATGTGTGGCTGTGGTAGTGGTGGGGATTGCAGCGCCGAAAGTGCTGGTGGGCTTTGCTCCTTCTTGTGCGTGCTGCCATGCAGCAGCCTATGTTACTTGAGGCTTGCCAATTGTGTCGCAGATGACTCTAGGAGGTAGTTGTGATGTCCCATTCCTCTTCGTGAGGCCTCGGCAAACAGCTGGCGGATAGTCGATGCCTCAGACGACTTGCTTTCCTAAATCCTGAACGCTGAGGCACCCCAAAAGAACGCCTCTAGCCCTTACGCTCTCGAAGATGTTGCCGGTCCAGGGTTCTAAGTGTCTGAGGGGCATGACTGCGAACCTTTGGAGCTTCGGAAGAGGAGACTTCGCGAGAAATAACCCAGATAATTGCTCTCAGATTATAGGCTGTACTGTAGGATAGAAGGATGTTCTTCTACATCTACTCTGGGAATGTCTATGGCTTAGCGATTGTATGGTCTAGGGCTTCGGGCTTAGAGAGTTGTTCCTGTAGCAACCTTCATCTACTTGCTTGATCAAGCTCCGGTTCTCGTTTACCACCCAGGTACACAGACATATGTAACAGCCGCAGAACCTGAGCGTTCTGAAAGGTGAATGACGAGAATCCGTTGCCATGCTCGGGCCTCATCCGAACGGATTGCCAGTTTAAGATGTTTGTCCATTTCTGATCTTCTGTTTCAGAGGCTTTGGGGGTGGCAACTTTGAACATAAAACGTGAGCCATAAACCAACGCCCCAAACCCAGACCTACAGCGCACACCCCAACGCGCTTGCTTTAGCAACCTCCTTAGGATTCTGTGATTCGGACCGTGGTCATGATGGAGGGGTTCAGGTACCGTAGTCCAGGTTTCAGCCTTCAGAGTGCTGTAACATATGGGAGCTAGGATTAGGGGGACCCTTGGGGATATAGACCCTCTCAATAAGGTCCCCTTTAAGAGAGCCAAAAGTAGGGTTCAGAAGGGGTGCCCTTTAAGGGGTACCCCTAATAATACTACCTAACATAACATGAGCTTCATGTCAAGAAACTTAAGGTGGCATCGTTATAGTGATAGTGAGCGTTTTTAACCCTGTGTCCATGGTTGTTATTGCTGCCGGTATAAGTGCTCGTGAACAAGTTTTGATCACCGGAATTCTTGTACCGTCTCCCAAGCAGTTCATTTGCATTACACACACCACTTCATGCGTCACCGCCGTAGCAATCTTCTGGATTGTCAGGTGTTCGCTATAGCACGCTGTAACTTCCTCAGTGCCGCCCTCAAACCACATCCTTTAAATTCCAAAACGCCAACGCTTCCGAAACCGAAGCGGGGCAGCGTGTTGCAGTGCTTAGGCATTGCTGCATTTTTCCGAATCCATGATGGCTTCGGCACACTCATGGCCGGCAGCTGAGCCGTTCGATCCATGCCTGCTGCCGTCAATAACAAGCCCCATGAAGCCTCAGTAAGTAAAGACCTAAAGTTCCACCGCAAACCCTGCAAAACATTAAAGGACCTTGTGAAACTAAAAAACCCTGTAAAACTTGCAGAAACCCGACAATGAAACAATGCCCGACAGCTGCAAGCCCTCGACAAATCCAAAGCTTAGCACCACCAAGTCTCGGAAGCATCTGCCGCTGCTCCTGGAGAGTCCCGGAGATACCATCCATGGGTAGCTTGCTTGCAGTTTGGCTTTGGGTGTTTTGGGTTTCGCGTTCAGGATTTCGGGATTGGGGTCTCCGGGGTTGAGAGTTTCAGGTTTAGGACCCTAGGATTTGGGTTTTGGCTTTGGGGCACAAGTACGCAGGTCTTGGCGGGCTCCAGGATGTGTTTGTACTGGCAGCTTCGAGCCTGGGTTGCAAGGTTCAGAGTTTCGGCATTCGGGTTCATGCTTGGGGCGGTGCCATGTGGGCCTTCAGACAGCCAACTGACTGCAATGTGATTGTGGCTTAAGGGGTTTATGACCTATGCATGGCAATTGGGTGTAAACGGTTTACGACACGCCATTGATTCAGACCCTGCTTCATCACATTCGCGCGCGGCTTGCTTTACGGTTTGGAGGGTTTCGGGATCAGGTATGCCCTTTGTGGCCCCTGTATGAATGCAAGAAGAATCTAGCATCGTTCGCAAAATATGCTCCGAAACCCTATCCTAATCGCAAGGAGCTGAAGTAGTTCGGCCCCTAGATTTCGTGATCCTTGCCAAACCTTCAACTTTGAGCGATTGCAGGTCGTGCTTCTATGTGTGCGCCGGCCTGGGCTCTAGGGATCGGGGAATCGGGAAAGAAGGCATCGACTTCAGGACTGAAGACATTTGACGATGCCAAAACATCCAAGTTCCGGTCTTTGCCCTCCTGATCGGGTTTCTGCTCGTCTCGTTGAGTGCCGTCCTCCACGCCTTTGCAATCCACGCCTTTGCAATTACAGCTCTATGGCTCAGACATTCCGAGAAATTCTGGCAGAGTCTCCACCCTGCTGCGAAGCCACATTGTCCGGGGAGCTGTGCCTTTGTTTTTGTTGGTTGCTCGGCATCCTGCTGCACAAACCCAAAAGGGTGGCAAGTTCGAACCTGACCGCAGGTACCCCAAGAGGGGCCTCCAGCCGATGGGACAGCTGCGGCCTTAGGAACAAAGGATGAGCGGGGTGTTAACTTGGAGCGGATGCTGGCAGGTTGCAGGCTAAAGTCCTCATGGCTTGGGGTGCCTGGCCTTAGCGTTCAACAGCAAAGGTTGTGGTCGTTCCCGCTCTGTATGAGGGGATGTCCGGGATACTCCCGCAACAGCACGACAGCTTGCAGGAGTTCAGAGCATGTTGAAGGTTTTTCCGGCAGCTCCGAATGCCACTGAGTCCAATCGTGAGCAAGGTGCGCTTCGGGGTTTCTAATTTGGGGAAGCATGTGGTGCTTCGACCCTTGAAATAGAAACGTCCGAAGCTCCTGCCCCTCGCCAAGGCGACCCACTCTTTTGCGAATGGCTCGCGTGGACAAGACGCCGGGGCCTGGCCAAGCGAAAAAGCAAACCCTACGTAGAATGTCAAACAAATGCTGCACTTCCGCAAGTGTACTTCGGCCTGCCAAATAAGTACTAAACAGACTCGTGGGCCACGGTGCCATTTTAGTGACACTTCCGAGTCTAGTCTAAACGCGGGGCGTCCTGCTGCGAAGCCGTGAACAAAATGGAAGTGGCTGAGCTACAGCTTTTTGGTTGAAGTTCCAGTGCCTAAGTCTCCCTGTTGGGTCAGGAACCCTGGGTTTCGGGCTCCACGATTCAGGTCTTCAGGATTGGATGGGTTGGAGCCTATGGAGCCTGAGTGGTCCCGTAGGTAAATGCTTCTGAGTCGAGGTTCAATACTAGCATGAGGCAGTTCTGGGCCGTGAATAGTGATGCTTTCAGCACTTGCGAGGTTTCTGTTGCAACATCGGGTTTGCCTGCAACAAAGACTATCCCTGAAGCTGTAAAGCACAACCGCAAAGGACACGATACCAGCTGTGAGCGCAGTGTAGGGTGGGATTCTTTTCCGGGCCCTCGAAGCAGGGAGCACTTCAGGTGCTGCGTCGCCGTGGATCGCCGAAAGGTCCGGAGTCGCGTTTAGTGGCTCAGAGGTTCAGGGGATGATTTAAGGGTTTAGGGCCTAAGGGATGACGTCCCTATGCATCGCAAGCCGGGCACGGTCCTGCCATTCTGCCAACGGGTAAGCTGTTAAGTTTCCATGAGAACACGAAGAGATCAAGCTTCTTCTGCACAGGGGCCGAATATCTGCGAATAGGATCGTGACGCACAGAACGTGGCCTCGCCCGCCTCCGGATTGCTGCCGCTTGCATGCTCAACCAAGTTACGACGCGAAGTGGAAGCGTGCTTCGGCCTTGAGTCGTCTTGAGCTCCACAGACCCTACGCAACTCACCAAGCAGCCTAAACCCTAAACCCTAAACAGCTGAGCATCTGCCCTGAGAACCGGAAGCTCCTGCAGCTGGCTGACGAAACCGCGAACACTCAAGCGTGCTGGGTTGGGCCCATGGGCTTGGTGCGTTAGCCGATGGCGGAGCGGTGACCAAGCGTGGACAGCTGGGATCTTAGTTTTCGGGAAGGTCGATACTTGGCATTTAGGATTTCGGGCTTTGGGCTGAGAGTTTTGGGGTTTAGGACTGGCTGATGAGGTGCACAAGGTTTGGACTTTGGGCGTAGTGTGGAGTCGAGAGTCGGATGTGGTGTGGAGTCGCCTTGCCCGCACTTTCGAGAGTTTCGGGCAGGACCTGTCGGAGGTCAGGTGTAGGGTTCAGGGGCTTGGGTTTTTGGCTCGGCCTGGACGGGGAGCGAACTCTTCGATTGAACTTGGCATCGCATTCTTAGGTTTTTGTGTTTTGCTAGTGTCAGCTTTTGAAGCAGACGAAAAATGCATAACATCGAAAGAGTGTAAAATTGATGGCCTCGGCAGTCAGCGATGGCATTTCCTCGTAAGTTGCCTCCGTTACCCACGTCATTGCATTCTTATGTTACATACACTTCAAGACACCCTTAAAACCTTTCGGGCCCCACGGCAAGCTCAAGGAATTCCCTGCAAAATTCAGCTCTGAAGGAACAGGTCTGAATACCCGAGGGCTTTCGTTGAATTTAGCGTTTGATGCCTAGGGCTTCGGTGTTTTGTGGGGTGTTTTTCTATGGTGAGGTTTACGACGATCTGCTTGTACCATAAACGCCTAAAGACTACTTTGGGTGTTCCTGATTATAACCAAGTCAAAATATACCTTAAATCCCGATTCGAAGTATTGAGGCCCTTGACAGTATGCTCAATGTTGCGGCGGCCTTCGGTGGTGGACTGCTCATCAGGCATCGAGGTTTACCAACGCATGGGACTCTGGGAGGATAGTTATTCATCTCCCGACTGTATTCGGGTGTCATCAGATGTCCCGGGTGGGTTTTGGTTTCGGCATGTAGATCATGCAGTTTTAGATCTGATGCGTAAGAGGTTTCGGGTTGAACATGTTCAAATCTAATATAAAGCTGTGGTTCAAGGCGCTCCTAGATATCATTCCCTCGTGCTCGCGACCGAAACCTGCAGCCCAGAGCGCAAGGATCTGAAGTCATAGACGCTAACGGGATACTGTCCCTTCGACCTGATGATTCTCAAAGCAACGCTATGCAACGCTAGTTCGTTGCAGTGTAGGGTTAAGGGTTTCTGGTGCAAGAGCCGCAGATGTCTCTCGTTTTCATTATACGATCAAGGATCCTGCATCGGAGAAACTGAATTGTCACTGCTAATACCTCGGGCCCAGTATCATTTTTGCTTGGTGTAGGGAGTTCGACCCCACCAACTTAAGCGTTGAGTTTGCTTTAAGGCGCATGCAATCCCAGTCATCATCGAAAGGTATCGAAACTTTGGCAATATTGCAATATCTCTGCTGTTTGAGATAAACCAGATACATGTTGGGACTACTCGGTGTTGGGGTGTTTGTCATCCTGTTGGAGGCAAACCCTGGAGGAGATCAAGCTGCCAAAGCCATCGACTCAGCCAATGGCCTGCCACTCGCAGTCCTCAAATCCTCAAACCCAACACCCAACTCTCAACCTACCCACGAGATTTCCTTCAAGAACCATGCCCAGGCATGGGAACAGAACAGATGTCCGAAGCTCTTGCTTCCCCGAAGCACTCACCACCCGACAAAGCGCCCGCATCTGCATGAAGTGAAACCGCGAAAGCTCTAACCCCCGAAACCCGAAACTCCGAACCGTGGAGATCTTGGCGTGTTTCAGGGTTGCCGATGTGCGGAGTTCGCGGTTTGAAGCTGTAGGATGTGGGAGTCGCAGCATCTAGATTATGTCTTTGTTCAGGGCTCTGGGTTCGGGATTTGAGGTCTTGGATGCAAGCCCAGGCCTTGAGACCGTCAGGGTTTCGTGATGAGCTTGGCTTCTGAGGAAGCGAAGGGAGGTGTTTTGAGGGGCTTGCGCCTGCAACTTCCGCGAATACTAGGCTCCAAAACCGAAAACCTAAAGCCCTGAGCTTGACAATTTCTGCTTGTTGAAGTCGGGGTGAGAAGATCTCTATAGGTTGAAAAGCAATCCGAAAGTGCGAAGGTTTCTATGCATGAATGCATCTGAGGTTCAAGCGCGCTTCCGAAGAAGGCGTCACCTTCAGGTGGGAGGATTTCTCCGCCACAGCTTCTCTATGCGTAGCACATATGTTGCAGGCAGTCGTTTCACGACGATGACTTTGTTTCTGCGCTGCTACCGCTACTGCTACTGCTGCCGCCTACTACTACTACTACTACCACTACTACTACTGCTATTTTTTCTGCTACTACTACTATTGCTACTACTGTTGCTACTGCTGCTGCTACTGCTACTACTGCTACTACTACGACTACGACGACGACGACGACGACGACGACTACTACTACTACGACTGCCTCCACAACAACAACAGCAGCAACAACAACTACTACTGCACTTTGCTACTACTATCGCTCGTCTTGAGGCCTTGCCGCCTACCTTGCGCCAGCATCGGGTGCCTGGGATGCATTCTTATGAGCAAGGATCTGGGCCTTACGTCGAGCGCTTGAGGCTTATGACTTGTAACTGTTTGGGTTTCGGTTGTAGGCTTTGCGTTCAGGTGATTAGGATTTTGGTCTGTAGTGTCCTCTCTCGGTTGTAAAGTTGAGGGTTGAGGGATTGCGGGGGTGTCGGGACTTGCAGGTGCAGGGATCTTTGCGCCCACAAGTCCCTGAATCTAGCCAGTTTACGTAGATGCTCGTGTCTATCTTTCTTGGGGATAGCCTGTTTTGTGCTTTTCATCAGCAGAAATCATGTTGAAGATGTTCATTTGCATTCGTAGTATTTTGTTAACAACAAGAACAGGAATAGTAACAAACATAAACAGAAGACAGAAAAATAGTTATTTCAGCAGAGAAACAGCATCAACGACAACGGCAATGACAGCTACAACGACGATGACGATGACAACAGCAACGGCAACAGCGGCAGCAGCAACAACAGAAACCACAATAGCAGCAGCAGCAGCAGCAGCAGCAGCAGCAGCAGCAGCAATGGCTGCAGCTGCAGCCAGAGCAGCAACCACAACAACAACACCAGCCCCAGCAGCAATTGCTTCAGCAAGAAGCATCAGCGACAGCATGTCTAACAACAACTTCAATAACAGCAGCAACAGCAACAGCAGCAACAACAGCAACAACTGCTGCAGCAGCAACAGCCACAGCCAAAAAACTATAGTATCGACATCAACACCAACACAAAACCAACAATCGTCATCACCATCACCATCGTCATCAATAGCAAATGCAGCAAGAGCAGCAGCAACAATAACACCAATAAGCAGCATAATAGTTACAACATATTGGAACTATAATAGCAACAACAAAAACACAGCAACGGCAACATCTACAACGCCAACAGCAACAACAAGCAACTGCGCAGCTACAGTTACAGCTGCACCAACAACAACGGCAGCAACAACTGCTACTATCACGACTGCTACTGCTGCTACTATTACTGCTACTACTACCAATGCGAATCCTGCGACTATTATTATTACTACTACTACCACCAC